GATCAAACGTTATAAACGATCCTAAAATATCCTTTCCATGACGAAAGAATCAAATCCAAAAATTTTTCGTTACCTGCTACTAGTTACTTGATAACCTAACAATAACTTCCCTCTCATATTCATTGTTCACGTTCATAAAACCAGAAAAAGAAAATGTTTTATTAAATTGAAAATCTACGATCTAAATTTATTGCACTGAATCAAATAAAATAAGTGACAAAAAAAATAGATGTTACAACTAAAAAAAAAATTACAATCAAAAAAGACAATCGTTACTGTTTGTAATTTATTATGTTACCAAATATCCACCATCTAAATTCATAAAAAAAACGACAAGAATAAGAATTGAAGATAAAAAGTATTAATTAAAATTCTTCTTTTATTTCAAAATAAAACTCAATACTAATTCTATGTAGATGATTTTCATTTACATTACCTATAGGTAAACATGTACCATTAATCATTTGAGATTTATTCGATAGTAAAAATATTATTGGTTCAACAACATCTTCCACTTCTATTCAAATCGATTGACACAAAAAACAACAATTATTAGTACAATTTTTTTTTGTCTTTACAAACCAGCAAATCTATTTAATGGAATTTTCGATAACATTCCTGCAGCCTTGTTTTCATCAGACCATGCTATATAAAGAAATTGATTATTTAAAAACAAAAATTTAGACATTTCTAAAAACGAAAACTACAAACCAAATCGACCCATTTCTGTTAAAACAACCTATACATTACAAATACAAAATACTACTAAAATTTTTTACCATATCGAAAACTTACTGTTGGTTGTACACTATTAACTCGAATCTAAAATAAATAAATCAATATTGATTCATAGTAATCGAAGAAAATAACTCTTACTTGATGAGGACCTAATTCCAATGCCATAGTACGTGTTAAACTATCAACAGCTGCTTTTGCTGAACAATAAAGAGTATGATCTTTTAATGCTGCTACTGATGCTTGACTTGATACATTAACAATTGAACCAGGTAATTTACGTTCAATTAAATCACGTGCAATTTCCTATTAAAGCATTATAATTAAATAAATTTTTCATAAACAAATAACGCTCGATGTTACGACTCGCTAGAATCTTGATTGAATGCTCCACTTTTTTTCTATATAATATACCACTATAAACTCCAGTTCATAATGACGTTGTGGATCTTTATATACATACTAGTATCGATGTCTGTATGGTTCATCTATTCAACACTCACATCAAGGTGCACCTAACCCCACTAGAGTGCATCGGGTTGGAGCCAGACCCGTCCAGGTTCGAATTCGAAAAAAGTTTGGACCCGATGATCCAAATGGTAGGAACAATGCATAGTTTGCGCTAGTTACCGAATACAAAAAGACGGATAAAAATATCCGATATCTTCGGGATGACTATTCAATAATAACTAAACGTCTTCCCTCAATAGAAGATTTCTCTATTAGAAGACACACTATAGCAGAAAAGCCTGATTCAATGAACAATGCTGTAGCTATAGTCAAAGGCATCCTAAATGAATTAATTTTTAGACAAGTTGAACACTTAATTAGTATCTCTATATCAAAAATATGCCTA